TGAAGTAAGCCAAGGAAGCAAAGACATAGAGATGAGAAGGGAGAGAATTCCAGGCATAGAGGAAAGTCAATAAAAATAGATGAAGCTGGGAGATTCAGCATCATGTTCAAGGAAAGGCAAGGAGGTCAGTGTCACTGGATCATAGAGCATATGGAGGACAGTAAGGTATAAGACGACTTGGAAGGGTGAAAAGGGAGCCAGGTCATAAGGGGCTTTAAAAGACAAACAGAGGATTTTACATATGATCCTGGAGGCAATAGGGGAACCACTGGAGTTTGTTGAATTAGGAAGATTGCTTGGACCGCTAAGTGGGATTAGTATGGATTTGAGTAGGAAAGAAACTGCAACATGAAGACCAACCAGCAGGCCATTTCAATATTCCAGGGATAAATTGATGAAGGGCTACACCAGGGTGATGGCAATGTCAGTTGAGCATATATGTGTCTCCCCCCTCTATTTGCAGAGGTTGAGGTCACTGGGTGTGGAACATTACATATAATGTCAGACTAAGTTGATATGTTGGTTAGTTTTGCTTAACTGCTTTTTTTCCCCCTTTAGTACAGAGGATGGCTCCCTGGGTAGGAGATGATAAAGGTATAAATTCAGAAATGAATATAATGTGAAGCAAAAGATAAAAGCAAAACTTTAAATAAAAAATAGAAATATATCAATGAGATAGTATACCAAAACCTTTGAAAGGGCACTGTTGGCTCATATTGACAGAACTGCAGTCTCTTCTTTGTTCAGTCAGTCAATAAAGCAACTCTCAAAATGAAATTTGTAGTTTTGAAAACTAATATTAACAAAACAGAAAAAGGATCAATGAACTGTGTATTTCCTTTAAAAGATCAGAAAATAAACAAATTAGCAAGCAGAATAAATACAAAAAAGCTTTGAAGTTAGGAGAGAAATTTAGAAACATTGACATTTTAAAAATATCATTGAATTGGTAAAAAAAAAATGCTAATTTTTAAAAAAAGACTAACAAAGGGTAGGGCATGCATTTTTTCCCTCTTTCTTGGTATCCCCAGCCCTTAGCATTGTGCTTAATAAATGTTTGTTAACTGACTAAATAAACCATTAGCTAACATGATCAAGAAAAAGAGAAAGAAGAAATATATTACCAAAATTAAAAAATGAATAAAGGTGTATTCACAACAGAGAGGAAACAAAAAGCATTATAAGAAGCTACTAGGCACTTGAGGATATCTCCACTATGGGCTTACCTGGCTTTTGGCTCTAGGAGAGCTCCACTTGGTGGTCAAGTGAGATATTGCACTCCCTTGGTCCGAATAGTGGCACACTGCCCTTCTGCAGTCTTAAGTAGCAGACACGTCAATTACAACTGCTTGGAATGCCATAAATAACATCAGTGTCACATTAATATGACATTATTATACGTGACCCTATTTTTCCTCTTCCTTCACCACTTTGTTTCTACCAACTGCACAGTCTTACAGTTGCACTGAGGAAAGGCTTTCCTAAAAGCAATTGGAAAAAAAAACAACCCTTTAACTGAACATGATTAGGAAATTCAGGCTTACTAAAATAGTACTTTATGGTTACAGAGAACTTTTTCCATAGCTTTTTCCATAACTTTTTAATTTCTTTTTCCATTTTTACTTGTGTCCTCATTTGATTTTTAAAAATATTTTTTAGCTCTTTTTTAAACTCTTGCTTCATCTTTTTCAATGATTCTAGTTGAAGTTGTGCTCAAGTTGTATTCTTCTTTGAGAATTTGCTTGTAGATGTTTTGGAGTCATTCTCTTCTTCTGGGTTTATGTCTTGAGTATCCTTATCACTATAATAGCTTTTTGTGGTGGGATTCTTGCCCCCCCTCCCATTCTTCTAGCCTACTTCCTGACTTCAGACTTCATGTTAGGGTCATGCTCTGAGCAGTTTTAAAGGAAATGTCTAGGTTAAGCTTGTATCTTCCTCTTGGGTTCTTCTGCTCCTTTTCTGTGGTATTGAGTGTTGTATTATTGCAAGCTTACAAAGCCAGCTTAGCGTGGGGAACTGCAAGTTTGGGGGCTCTGAAAGTGGTCTGATCCAAGGTAAAATCTTATTACTGCTCACTTGGTCTGAGCTCTGCATGTTCCTTACCTGGGTTTGGGTCCAGGCAACATACCTGTGAGCTTGCCCCTGGATCGAGTTCTGCATTGAGCCAGCTGGAAAGCTCTATAGGTTCAGAGAGAAATAATTTCAGGATCTCCTTTGGTTAGTCAGTCAATAAACATTTATTAAGTGTATACTATGTGCCAGGCACTGTGCTAATTGATGGGAACACAAAGAAAGGCAAAAGACTGCTTTCAAGGAGTTTACTGTCTAATGTGGGAGACAACATGCAAACAATTATGTACAAACAAGTTATATTCAGGATAAACTGGAGATAATCAATATAGAGAAGGCACTAGCATTAGTGGGAGATCAAGAAAGGCCAGAGATTTCAGTCCTTGTTGTTTCCCTGCAGGCTTCTGCCTGAGCTGGATGATAGAATCGAAACTCCATTCAATTCCTGGAGTCAGAGCCACACAATTGTCTCTTTTTGAACTTGTTCCTTGCTCCAGAGTAAGGTCTACTTCTTGCCCAGTACACAGCCTAGGGCCCCCTAACTCTTTCTTATCCTGGAATGCCACCCATAGGCACATGTCCCCTCCTCAGTCTGCCCTGCATCTGTGATAGAATAGAGCTGCCATGCTGTTTCTGAAGCTTGTACAAAGTCGGGGCCATCCTGTAAGGGTTTTGGACCTCTTTTTTTCTTGTTGAACAGTGTGTGTCCTTCCTCAGTTCCTGTGTGCTGGAATGCTCTGTGCTGTATGCTACTGGCTAGATCCAATCCCCAATGTCTGCAGACCTCTCTGTCTCCCTGTGCTGATCTGGTTAGAAATATGATTGACCTCATATTTTACTAGGACCTGGTGTGGTACTTTTTCTAAATCTTCGTGCATGAGTTGGGTTGGGGAGCTCAGCCGTCCTTTTTGCTACTCTACCATCTTATCTCTGCCTCTCTCCAAAGCACTTTCCCATTTACTGCTTCCTTGATTCTTACAAGAACAAGATAGCAAGTTTAAGTGTTGTTGCCCCTACCTTAGAAAGAAACTAAAACTCAGAGAAATAAAGCGACTTGACCAGGGTCACACAGCTATTAGATGCCAGACCCAGGATTCAACCAGATTTCCAGAGTTCTTTATTTACTTATGTTTGACTATTTATTGTTTCCCCCCTCTAAACTCTCCTTTATGCTCTTTTTTCATCATCAGCCTTACAAGAACCTTTAACATGGGAATTAATAGCAGCTGTTAACATTACAAAGCACAAAAGAGACAAAAGTTTTAATGGATTCTAGAAAAAGTTATTATGATCCTTAAAAAAAAAGATTGTGCCCAACACCCGTGACTATAGAATTAATATAGTTCAATATTTCTTTACTTGCTTATGTGCAAAAATAAAATATGAGGAGGATGGACTAGAATTAGAGGTGTCAAACTTGCAGCTGCCTGTGAGGCAGCTGGTCAAAACCAGATTAAAATGTAATTGACAAATGTTTAACAAAATAAATAAAAATACAATACAACATAGATAATGTTGATTTCTAGTTTTCTAAGTTAATACGTGGCCCACAAAGGATCTGTTTCTAGTTGAGTTTCATACTACTAGATGATCTCTAAGAATTCCTGTAAAAGTATGAATCAAATGTATGAGTACAGAATTATAGATGTAAAGCTGGAAAAGACTTGGAGATCATTTAGTTCACCTCTTCAGTTTTATAGATGAAGAAACTGAGACCTAGAGAGGTTAAATGACTTACCCAAGGTCACACAGGTGATAGAGCTAGGAGCTGAACCCAGCCAAATCCACCCAAATCCAGCTTTCTACCACATAATGTAAACATTCAGTTTAGCATAGGAGTGCCTGATTTGGAATTAGAGGACCTGGGTTCAAATTTCAGCAACACTAAGAAGCTGTGTGACTTTGGACAAGTAATTTTACCTGATTCTCAGGGTCTTCGCTTGCCATAGGAAGGGGTTGGAGTTCTTCACCTCTAAAGTCCATTCCAGCTCTGAACCTTATTTTCCTAAGTACCTAATAGGTGCAATATTATTATAAAGAAATGGAAGGGGAAAGTAATAATAATGCGATAATAGCCAACACTTATATAGCACCTACTATGTGCCAGGCACGGTGCTATGGGCGCTACAACTATTACTCATTTGATCCTCACAACAATCCTGGGAGGTAATTTCTATTATTATTCCTATTTTACAGATGAGGAAAACTGAGGCAGACTGCAGTCAAGTGACTTGACCGGGGTCACGAAATTAATAAGTGTCTGAGACCGCATTTGAGCTCGTCTTCCTGACTCCAGGCTCTGTGCTCTATCCTCTGAGCCATGATACTGTTCAAGTGAACTTGGGCAAGTCATTTTCCTTTCCTAAATCTCAGTTTCCCCATTTGTAAAGCGGAGACAATACTCCTCGCACCACCTGCCTCACAGGATGGTGGTAAAGAAAGTACTCCGTTAATTTGGGAAATGGGAGCAGCATGGGAATGCAGTGGAAGGAGCCCTGGGTTTGAGAACGAGGTAAAATGAGAGGAAGCAAGAAGGAGAGGAAAAATGGGGGAAAGGGAGAGGGAAAGAAGACTACCCAAAGAGGGGCAGAGTGACAGCTGGAAGAAGGAAAGAAAGAATGAGAAAGAGAAGAGAAGGTCTCGCTTGCCAGTTTCAAACATGGTACCTGGAGCCTCTGTGACTGACAAGCCACGTGATCATGCTGCTCCTATGAGGTCTCCTGGGTTGGGCTCTTGATTGTCCCTTCTCGCACTCCGTTCCGAGGCTGCCGTGGTTGTCAACCAGAGGCGATCATGGCAACCGGCCGGGCCGGAGCGCAGGCGGCTGGAGCTGCTGGGACGGCTACGGCTGCGGGCGGGCGCGGGGCTCAGTGGGGAGGGTGGGGGCTGCTCCTGCGGGGCCCGGGAAAGCAGGGGCAACACTGAGCGCCATGCAGCGGGCCTGCGGGGATGGGCCCGCGGAGCTGCCGGCCTTGGAGGACCCCGGCGCGGAGGGGGAACCCGACCCCAAGGCCAAGCAGAACGAGCCGCGGCGAGAGCCCGAGCCCGAGCCCGAGCCGGACACTGAGCCCGAGCCGGACACTGAGCCCGAGCCGGATGCTGACCTCGCTCCCGACCCAGAACGCGAGCCCGCTCCCGAGTCTGAGCCCGAGCCCGAAAGGCCCGCGGAGGCCGAGCTCCAGACCCGGGTCCCTGCCTCAGCCCCTTTGACAGTCCAGAACCCGGCTGAGCAAGGCGACGTCAGCCTCCAGGAACGCCGCCCCCGCCCCGTGGCCAGGACCAGGACCAAGACTAAAGGCAAGAAAGACGCCGAAGTGCGCGTGCCCGACGAGTCCCGGGGCCGCCGGCCTCTCACTGTCACCGTGGACAGCTCCAAGGCCAGGACCTCCCTGGAAGCCCTCAAGATCAGCCTTCGGCAGCTCAAGTGGAGGGAGGTGAGCCCCTCCATCCCGCCCTCCAGCCTCTGCCTAGCTGCCCGGCCAGGGCCGAGGTGTCCCAGGGAACCCAGCCCCCCTTCCACACACTCAGGCAGACCCTTGGTGCTCGGGACCACCCTTCCTGACCTTGTCAGGGTCAAAGACGTCCCTGGGCTCCAGTTTCTCTGTCTTTTAAGGGTTGGGAGGAAGGAGGGGGATTTGGAGGAGGTCCCTCCCAGCGCTTAAGTTCTATGTTCTAACATTTTATTTTTTAAATCACTTCCAGCTTTAATATTCTGTGTTCTCTCTTGAAACATAATGTTTTTAATTGGGTTCTTCTAGCCTTGATGTTCCATCTTCCAAGGTGTCCAGTATTCACAGGCTATAGTTCTTCTTCAAACGTTTTTCTAATTGCTCTTCCAGTTCTGAACCAAAACTTTCTAAGGATCGTCTTCAACCTTGATGGTTTTATGTCCATACATTTAGAGCGGGATAAGGAGGTTGGATAAATCTCTAGGCCAACTCCCTCATTTTACAGATGACTAAACTGAGACCCAGAGATATATTAAGTGACTTGCCCAAGGGCACAGGGTAATGGAGTTTGAACCCTTGTCCCCAACTCTAAAACCAACTCTTTTTTATCATGATGCCTCACTTTCTCACTCTGATGTTTTACGTACTATGGTCTCTTTCATTCTGTGGTTTCTAGTTGAAAAATTATTTGGTTCAATTAAAAACATTTGTTGAATGTCTACTGTAAGAAAGACATTTCGTTATGTATGGTAGTGATGGGAGAAGGTGCAGTCATCTTGGAAATATAGATCCTGCTCTCAAGGAGTTTACAATTTAGTGGATAATGATCTCAAAGTCCTTTTCCAGCTCTAATATTCTGTGGTTCTGGATCTCCCATGGATGTGGTTAGTAGAAGGGGTGTCAGTGTTCTAGGTAGTCATTCAATTTTGTGTTTGAAAATTGTAGTGTTTGTTGATTTTAGGAAAAGTAGTTATTCTGTGGTGTAGTGGAAAGAGCATTAAATTTGGAATCAGATAGGATCTTTGTTTAAATTTCAGCTCTTTTCCTTTCTACTTCTGACTTTCTACAAGTCAGTTTCTTCTCCCTGGGTCTCAGGTTCCTCATCTTTAAGACGAAGTGGTGAATATATGATTGACTAAGTGAACCTAATGCCCTTTTCAGTTACAAATCTTATGATCCTATACACTGGAGATGTTGGTCATCAAATTGTACAGCTTAGACTTTAGGCCAGAAACACCATCTAAACCATAAATTATGACTGTGCTCCTTTCATGGAGTTTTATGTTCCTTAAAGGTGCTTCCCGGGACCAAGAAAACAAGTAGTTTTATGTAGAGTAAGATGTATTTTCAGACTGGCCAATGTGGTACAGCTACTAGGTCTCAAAGTATGATTATAATTTGTTTTGCTTGACTATGTATAATTGTTACAAGGGTTTTTTTTTTCTTTTTTCAATGGGGGAAGGGTGAAAGGAAGGGTAGGAGGAGATAGGATACAGAAATAAAGAAAGAAAACAAGGTCATTGAAGAAATTTTTTAAAAAAATAAACAGAAGAGAACAGAAGGAATGCCAAAAAAAGAACAGCTATAATTTGAAAGTTATATTTTAAATTTGTTACATATTTAAAAATAAAAGCAAACTATATGTAATAGAAATTAACAGTTTCTTGTTTTTCTGTTCTATTATGTATATGGAAGCACTAATTTTATTTAGTGTTACTTAAGTTCTGAATGACAAAATCAAGTAATTTTAAATAGCTACCAGTCAAATCCAATGCCAGATTCATTTAGAGAAGCAACCAGCATTTTAGGTATATGTGATTGAACTTGGGAAGCCTGCCACTGTATGTGTAAGTTCATCTTCCTTTTCTCATTCTTCTCTTTCACAAGAGGGCTAGGCCAACTCACAGATGATTCCATTTTAGATAATACCCAATCAACCATTGGGATTTGATTCAACTCTTTCCTTCACACTTATTGCTATTTTACTTTCTCTTCATAATAGAAAATAGTAGCAGGAACATTTAAATAAGACCAGTAAATGAAAAGATTGCAAATCAGCAAAACAATGTCAAAATTCAAATCATTGTAGTTGCAAAATGAAGAGATGCAATCTTCTTCCCCATCCCCTTCTGTCTATCTCTCTTTTGATCACATGACAGAATATGGGGGTTAAGGACTGGAGTGTAGTAGTATTACTTGAATATTCATTGCAAAGGCTCATATGCAGCCATTATTTATTGAAAAGGGTCTAGTTTTATAAAAAATAATTTAAAAAACTTTATTGGTAGTTAATATGACTAAAATTTTCTACTTAAATAGAAAGAAGAAAAGGGAACACTAGGAGTGAATGAGAAAGGGATTTTTTTTAAGGCAGTTGGGGTTAAACCACTTGTCCAGGTCACACAGCTACTAAGTATATGTGGTCAAATTTGAACTCAGGTCCTTCTGACTTCAGGGTCCTTACTCTATCCACTTCACCACCTAGCTGCCCCCAGAAACAGAAAGTATTAACAAAAAATGTCGGCATTCCAAACCTCTCCTTTTATAGATTAGGTAAGTAAAGCTCCAACAAGGGAAGTTACTTGCCAAAAGCCATGGTCAGTAATTATTGGAGCCAGCTGAGTGCCTTTAAACCCAAATCAGTCATTTAATTCAATTCAACAAATGTTTGTTAAATTGTGAGATTATAAAAAGTAAAAAAAAAATAGAATAATCATTGACCTCAAGAAGCTTATGTTATTCTGTAGAGATAAAAAGAACTATTTTGGCTAGGATGACTTAAAATAAAACAAATGCCAATGCATTCTTGTTGAATGAGAATACATTTGGTTCTAGTTGGTTTTTGAGTCATGTCTTGCTAGCTACAGGTTAGAGTTGTTTACAGATTTTATTAGTCATATAGCTTAACCTTCCCTGGCTTTTAGTGACTTTGACGTACTTAATATTTTTTTAAAAAGCTGTATGATTTAACACTAGTTTATATCCTCTTTATACTTCATCATCTGTTTCAGTAGATATGCTGTTTTAATGCTAATCATCTACTGAAATTCTTTCTCTATAAGTTAAATATGACTGGTCCTTAAAATCATAATCAATAACCACAACAATTTTGAATGATGATATTTGTGTAATAGCTTTATCATCTATATTAATTTCTTAGGCAGTTTAAAAAATACTTTAGCGGTTTCCAGACTTCTCAACCCACAAATGCCAAAGACAACTTAGAAGGTCAGTGGGAAAAGTCTGTGACTGTGGTGAGAGAAGAAGCTAGATCTCAGCTGCCCTGAGGGCAGCGGCTGCCTTCTGAGCTTCCAACCCACAGACTGAGGGGGAATCGAGTGGCTTATCACAGGGGGATTGCAAGGATCTCTTTGCCAGGGCCGAGGCAGGAATCTCTTGCTTTGCCCTTGCTTGGATTTGGGTCACAGTTCTGAGGGGCAGTCCTGGGGCAAGGAAGAGAGCTGGCGTGGTGGAGCTTGTTGTGGCAGTGGAGGGAAAACACCTCGTCCCTTATCATAGCACCTTGGAAGAACTGACACTTTTCAGGTCCCTAGAAGTACCTCTGAAAACAGCTGTACAAACCCCCGAAGCTTGGAACAGTACATTCTTCACATTGGAAACACTCTTACCTTAACAAAGAGTTTAAAACTCAAGTAATTGGTTGGGATCATGAGCAAGCAGAGCAAAAAGAGTCAGACTATATTATCTTATTTTGGTGACAAAGAAGATCAAAACATACAACCAGAAGAAGAAAACAAAGTCCAAGCTCCTACATCCAAAACTTCCAAGAAAAATATGAATCAGTCCCAGGCCTTGGAAGAGCTCAAAAGGGATTTTGAGAAGCAAGTAAGAGAAGCAGAGGAAAGACTGGGAAGAGAAATGAGAGTGATGCAAGAAAATCATGAAAAGCAAGTTAACAACTTGCTAAAGGAGACCCAAAAAAATACTGAAGAAAATAACACCTTAAAACATAGCCTAACCCAAATGGCAAAAGAGGTCCAAAAAGCCAATGAAGAAAAGAATGCCCTAAAGAGCAAAATTGGACAAATGGAAAAGTAAGTCCAAAAGATTACTGAAGAAAATACTTCCTTAAAAAATTGGAATAGGGCATTTGGAAGCTAGTGACTTTATGAGAAATAAAGACACTGTAAAACAAATCCAAAAGAATGAAAAATTAGAAAACAATGTGAAATATCTCATTGGAAAAACAACTGACCTGGAAAATAGATCCAGGAGAGAGAATTTAAAAATTATTGGACTATCTGAAAGCCATGATCGAAAAAAGAGCCTAGACATCATCTTTCAAGAAATTATCAAGGAAAACTGCCCTGATATTTTAGAACCAGAGGGCAAAATAGAAATGGAAAGAATCCACCGATCTCCTCCTGAAAGAGATCCCCAAAGGAAAACTCCTAGGAATATTGTAGCCAAATTCCAGAGTTCCCAGGTCAAGGAGAAAATATTATAAGCAGCCAGAAAGAAACAATTCAAGTATTGTGGAAACTCAATCAGGATAACACAAGATTTAGCAGCTTCTACATTAAGGGACCACAGGGCATGGAATATAATATTCCAGAGGGCAAAGGAGATAGGATTCCAACCAAGAATCAGCTATCCAGCAAAACTGAGTATAATTCTTCAGGGGAAAAAAATGGTCATTCAGTGAAATAGAGGACTTTCAAGCATTCTTGATGAAAAGACCAGAGCTGAATAGAAAATTTGACTTTCCAATACAAGACTCAAGTGGAGCATGAAGAGGTAAACAGGAAAGAGAAATCATAAGAGACTTATTAAGGTTGAACTGTTTACATTCCTGCATGGAAAGATGATATTTGTAACTCATGAGACCTTTGTCAGTATTAGGGTAGTTGGAGGGAAAAAATTATATGTATGTATGCATATATATATGGATAGATAGATAGATAGATAGAGGGCACGGGGTGAGTTGAAGATGAAGGGGTCATATCTGGAGAATAAAATTAAGGGGTGAGAGAGGATTATACTAGGAGAAGGAAAAAGGGAAAGGTAGAATGTAGTAAATTATCTCACAAAAAAACAGAAAAGAAAAGGCTCTTACAGTGGAGGGGAACCAGGGGAAAGTGAGAGGAAATGAGTGAATCTTATTCTCATAGGATTTGACTTAAGGAGGGAATAACATACACACTCAACTGGGTATGGAAATCTGTCTTAACCTATAGGAAAATAGGAGGGGAAGGGGACAAAAGAGTAGGGGGATAATAGAGAGGAGGGCAGATTGGGAAAGGGGGTAATCAGAAGCAAACACTTCTGAGGAGCGACAGGATCAAAAGAAAGAATAGAATAAATGGGGGGGTGGGATAGGATTAAGGGAAATAGAGTTAGTTTTTCACTGCATGTCTACTATGAAAGTGTTTTGCATAACTGCACATGTATAGCCTATATTGAGTTGCTTGCCTTTTCAATGAGGGTGGGTGGGGAGGGAGGAAGGGAGAAAATTTGGAACCCAAAATTTTAAAAACACATGTTTAAAAAAAAAAGTTTTCACATGCAACTGGGAAATAAAAAATACAGGAAATGGGGTACAGAAATCTATCCTGCCCTTCAGGAAAATAGAAGGGGAAGGGGGGTAGAGATAGCAGGGAAAGCAGACTAGGGGAAGGGGTATTCACAATGCATGCCATCTTGGGGTGGGGGGAGAGGCAAGATGGGGTGAAAATTTGGAACTCAAAATCTTGTGGAAGTAAATGTTGAAAACTAAAAATAAAAAAAAAAGAATTAAAAAAAATACTTTAGTATTTTGATCTGAATATATACTCCCTTCGTTCTTTTTCATTGTATACCTACATTTTTTTTTCCTTTCAAAGAAACATTATTTTAGATGGAGACTAAATTTGAAGTTGGTCTATCTTCATATGCTGAGGTTAAATCCAAATAGTACCTCTAAACAGTCAGTCATTAAACATTTATTAAGAATTTACCATGTGCTAGGCACTGTGTAAAATGCTAGAAATACACGAAAGAGACAAGAGACAAGGGGAGATAACAAATGAACAAATATGTACAAACAGGCTATATACAGGATAAATAGGAAATAATTAACAGAGGGAAGGTACTAGAATTGAGAGAGGTTTGGAAGGACTTCTTGTAGAAGGTTGGATTTTAGTTTCAACTTGAAGAAAACGAGGGAGCAGAGTTGAAAAGGGAGAGTGTTCCAGGCATAGGGGACAGCCAGAGAAAACACCTGGAATGGAGAGATGGAGTGTCTTGTTTGTGGAATTGCCAGGAGGCCAGTGTCACTGGATCAGAGTAACTAGTAAGGAGTAAGGTGTAAGAAGGCTGGAAATGTAGGCGGAGGCTAGATTATAAAGGACTTTCAAAGCCAAATGGAGGATTTTGTATTTGACCTTGGAAACAACAGGAAACCACAGGAATTTATCAGACCTGCATTTTAGTAAAATTGCTTGGTGGCTGAGAATAGATTGGAATGGGGAGAGACTTAAGGCAGGCAGACATTCCCCACCAGCAAGTTATTGCAATAATCCAAACATGAGATGATGAGGGCCTATGCTAGAGTGATGGCAATGTCAGAAGAGAGAAAGGTGACCTATTCAAGAGATGCTGCAAAGGTGAAATCAACAGGCCTGGACAACGGATTGGATATAGGGTGGGATGAGAGATAGCAAGGAGTCACAAATGACACCTAGATTAAGAGTCTGAGGGATTGAGAGGATGGTGTTGCCCTTTATAATAATAGTAATGATAAATTACAATATATTTTTTATTTATAGTTACTAGATATTTATATTTTATATATTTACATTAACTAGGTATTATATTTACAAGAGCTTCTCTGAAAAGCAATGGACATCATACCATGCCATAATTATAGGACAGAGGATTCTGATTCTGACTGACCGATAGGATGTAGGATATAAAAATATATTACTGGATTTCTGGTTTAAGAGCCATTATTAGATTGACATTGTGTTCATGTATTTTCCTTGAGTGTACTGATTTATTATAAGGGAGGATTTTATATTGGGAAAGTTATTAGCAAGTGATAGTGATATTGAAAAAAAAAAGAAAAGAGAATCAATGAAACAATTTTTTTTAAAAAGTCTATTACCACAGAATAAAGACATTTTGAAAAGGAACTCAACAACATTCTATAAGTTTCTCCTAACAGGACAAGTGACCATTATTATTTATCTGCTCTTATTTTTGGAAATGGAGGGAAGTAGCATACTATCTGGTTTATTCTGCATGTGCATCTAAGATCATAGGATTTAGAACTCAAAATGACCTTAGAGTTGGTCTAGTTCAGCCTTCCTTATTTTATAGGAGGACCCCGAGAACCATAGAGATAAAGTGATTTATGCAAAGTCTCTCAGGGAGTATAGTTAAGATATGAACACAAGCCCTTTGCCTTGAGATCAGTGTTCTTTCCATTATACTGCATACTTACTTTCGTATTTCAAGACTCCATGATTTTCTCTATGTGGGCATTCCAATCCACTGACATGAACTGTGACGCTCCATCATTTTTTTGTGAATTACGGACAAAAAAATTCATCACTCTGCAGTCAGACTCTATTGATGGGTCTCTCTGAATTTAGGGTAATCCATGGATGCCAGACACAGTCTGTTTCCAGGCCAATACTTGAAGCCTTTCCAGCTCTGGTAGGACCTGTCAAAGCATATATTCCATTCTATATGCCATAGAGTTCTAGAACCCTGGGACAACTACATAATATTGTATGAGGCATCAGAGGAAGATTTTGATGGAGGTGCAGTAACAACTACATGGTCACATAACTGTGATGATATAAATAAGAATTGCATGTATCCAATTAGAAGACATCTATATCTCTAGTGCTGGGATTTTTTAATATTGCCTATTTTTTGGGGGGGGGGGAAGCACTGACTTAAAAGGTTTCTTTTTGTACCAATTTCTCCTGTTTGGCTTCAAAGTCTATAGGACTAGTGGAAGTTGTAAGAAGGCAAACTTTGGCTCAATGTAAGAAAACTTCTCAAGTTCAAGGCAGTTGAATAGATCTCCTCTGAAGGTGTTGAGTACCACACCACTGGAGGCCTTCACAAGTAGGCCTGTTGCCTTTTATAGGTAGATTTCAGATGGGATTCAGGTTTCAGGTAGACTGGATGAGCTCTGAAGTAATTTCAGTTTCTGAGATCCTTTGAATTTATGAATCAAGAATTTGGTTTATAAGGATCCATTGTAGACAATGGAGCGTTTTCATGATT